GGCCGGGCGCGGGAGTGGCGGATGAGGAAGGGCCGGGCGGATGAGGGAGGGCCGGGCGGAGGACAGAGTGTCATTTTTTTATCTTCATCTGTCTGGTCCTGGTTGCCAGATATCTGGAACACCAATTGTTGAGCCATGTAGGTGTGCAGCCCAGCACCCCCGACAATCTGCCCAGGGGTACACACATGTCTCACACAGACAAACACTCACACACGTGTCCCTCGCATAGACAGACATAGACAGACGTATACACACACGGGACTCTCACACAAGAATGTGACAGAATGCAGAGAACTTTTTCACAAACAGTGTTATTGCCATATATAAAAATATACAAAATTGTGCAAAATTCAACAAATGGTCGGACCAGTCTTCCACGGAACTGACCGCGCCAACTCCAGTACGGCGCTCCCTGGGGCTCCACTACAGGTTACCGGCATTGTTAGTACATCCTAGGACTCCGGCCACGCCCCCGGCAGTGTTAGTAAGAGGAAGAATGGACGCGCTGGATACGTAGCGAGCCCCAGACATTGTGCAGTTAGTAACTGGCCCCCCATCAGGGGGGAGCACAGCCTGACAAATACATACATATAGATATATACATCCAGCCGGCCTCCCAGTGCCATCACAGAACCAGCAATGCTGCCCCCTGCAGGCCACTTTTCCCCTGCTCAGGTCACCGAGTCTTTCTTCTTCTTCCTGAACGGAGACTTCAGGCGCCTCCACACCGATGTCTTAGGTTTCAGTTTGCGTTCGTTGGCCAGTGCGGCCTCGCGTTCCTTCCGGCGAATCTCACGCACCAGCGCATGGAAGACGTCATCAATGTAGTAACGCAATGCGGCAGACGTCTCGAAGAACGGACAGTTGAATTCTCTCGCCAAGGACACGCCCTCCTCCTTCGAAACCTGAAAGTGCAGACAGCGATCACAGATAATTCTCGGACAGCGGAGGTGCAGCCAGCGATCACAGATAAAGCTCGGACAGCGGAGGTGCAGACAGCGATCATAGATAAAGCTCGGACAGCGGAGGTGCAGACAGCGATCATAAATAAAGCTCGGACAGCGGAGGTGCAGACAGCGATCACAGATAAAGCTCGGACAGTGGAGGTGCAGACAGCGATCATAAATAAAGCTCGGACAGCGGCGGTGCAGACAGCGATCACAGATAAAGCTCGGACAGCGGAGGTGCAGACAGCGATCACAGATAAAGCTCGGACAGCGGAGGTGCAGACAGCGATCATAAATAAAGCTCGGACAGCGGCGGTGCAGACAGCGATCACAGATAAAGCTCGGACAGCGGAGGTGCAGACAGCGATCACAGATAAAGCTCGGACAGCGGAGGTGCAGACAGCGATCATAGATAAAGCTCGGACAGCGGAGGTGCAGACAGCGATCACAGATAAAGCTCGGACAGCGGAGGTGCAGACAGCGATCATAAATAAAGCTCGGACAGCGGAGGTGCAGACAGCGATCACAGATAAAGCTCGGACAGTGGAGGTGCAGACAGCGATCATAAATAAAGCTCGGACAGCGGCGGTGCAGACAGTGATCACAGATAAAGCTCGGACAGCGGAGGTGCAGACAGAAATCATAAATAAAGCACTCTCAGGGTCAGTGATCACAGGCCCCTCACCAGTGCACTCTCAGGGTCAGTGATCACAGGCCCCTCACCAGCGCATTCTCAGGGTCAGTGATCACAGGCCCCTCACCAGCGCACTCTCAGGGTCGGTGATAGCAGGCCCCTCACCAGTGCACTCTCAGGGTCAGTGATCATACTATGCCCTTGGATAATTGTGGGGGACTCTGTGGAAATGTCCTCATACAGGTTGGACTTTTGATGTGTGCTGACCTGGTGTGGTCAGGGTCAGCCATTCAAGTTGTCTAGAACAAGTCATGTGACATTCCTTTACCTGGCGGAGACGGGAGAGGTCAGACTTGTTTCCCACCAGCACCACAGGGGTGTCATCTGTCCGCCGTACGCGGTAGATCAGCTGTTTGAATTCTCTCACTTCGTGGAAGCTGCGACGGTCAGTGATGGAGTAGCAGATGATGAATCCCTCTCCGGCCCTCATGTACTGATCACGCATGGCTGTGAACTCGGCCTATAGAGACGGGGATACCAAGAGACAAAAAAATCTGGAAATTAGTCACCTGTACCCCAAATCTAACTCCTCCCCATTTACTCAACAGACCTCCCCCTGTGCCATCACCTCACCAGATCCCGCCTCTGACTGAACTCCTCTCCCTGTGCCATCAACTCACCAGATTCCGCCTCTGACTGAACTCCTCCCCCTGTGCCATCAACTCACCAGATCCCGCCTCTGACTGAACTCCTCCCCCTGTGCCATCAACTCACCAGATCCCGCCTCTGACTGAACTCCTCCCCCTGTGCCATCAACTCACCAGATCCCGCCTCTGACTGAATTCCACCCCCTGTGCCGATCAACCCACAGATTCTTCCTCTGACAGTGCCATCAACCCAACAGATCCCACCTAGGACTGTGCCCAACTCCTCCCCATGTGCCATCAACCCATCTGACTGAACTCCTCCCCCTGTGTCATCAACCCACCAGATCCCACCACTAACTGAACTCCTCCCCATATGCCATGAACCCACCAGATCCCACCTCTGACTGAACTCCTCTCCCTGCGGCATCAACCCAAAAGATCCTACCTCTGACTGTGCCCAACTCCTCCCCCTGTGCCATCATCCCAACAGACCCCCACCTCTGCCCCTGCCCAACTCCTCCCCCTGTGCCATCATCCCAACAGACCCCAACTCTCCCTACAGCCCCCTCCTTCCCCTGTGCCATCATCCCAACAGACCCCCACCTCTGACTGTGCCCAACTCCTCCCTCTGTGCCATCATCCCACCTCTGACTGCCCAACTCCTCCCCCTGTGCCATCATCCCAACAGACCCCACCTCTGAGTGTGCCAAACTCCTCCCCCTGTGCCATCATCCCAACAGACCCCACCTCTGACTGTGCCCAACTCCTCCCCATGTGCCATCATCGAAACAGACCCCACCTATAACTGAACTCCCCCAATATTCTCTTCCACCTCGCCGAACACAAGGTCTCTAGTGATGTCACTGTAATCAGCCCAGTGAAAGATGAACTCTGATTGACTGCTACAAAATTATATACCTTGCTGTATGCTAAGCCCCTCCCCAAGCGAAACCACCCACCTGTCCGGCTGTATCCAGGATGTCCAGGTTGGCGGGTTCGTCATCTATCCGTATGCGGATTTTGTATGCATCCTCTGGAAGAGAAATGTGCGGTCACTCTGCTTATATAGAGAGATGGGGGTGATTGTGTGCGGTCACGCTGCTTATATAGAGAGATGGGGGTGATTGTATGCGGTCACTCTGCTGATAATGATAGAGGGGGTCATTGTGTGCGGTCACTCTGCTGATAATGATAGAGGGGGTCATTGTGTGCGGTCACTCTGCTGATAATGATAGAGGGGGTCATTGTGTGCGGTCACTCTGCTGATAATGATAGATGGGGGTCGTTCTGTGCGGTCACTCTGCCAATGATAGATGGGGGTCATTCTGTGTGTTCACTCCCCCGATAACGGGACATCGGGATGGGGGGTAATTCTGTGCGGTCACTCCACTGATGACGGGACATCGGGGATGGGGGTCATTGTGTGCGGTCACTCCACTGATGACGGAACATCGGGGATGGGGGGTCATTGTGTGCGGTCACTCCACTGATGACGAGACCTCGGGGATAGGGGTCATTATGTGCAGTCACTCTCCTGAAAACGGGACATCGGGGATGGGGGTCATTGTGTGCGGTCAGTCCACTGATGACGAGACCTCGGGGTCATTCTGCGCGGTCACTCTCCTGATAACGGGACATCGGTCATTGTGTGCGGTCACTCTGCTGATAACCAGACATCAGGGATGGGGGTCATTCTGTGTACTCACCGATGGTGGGGTCGTGATCCTCGGGGAAGCGATGACTGATGAACTGCATGGTCATGGCTGTTGGGGCACAACACCAGCAAAGTCATTCATTTCTGGTCACATGACTAAATCCCCAATGAGAGGTGTGGAGCATAGGATATATATTTAAAAGCGGGGGACATGTCACATGGGGGAGGGGGGAACAGGGGACATGGCGGCAAGTCACATTTGGGAGGAGGTATGAAGGGGTCATGGCGGGGTGCCACATTCAGGGGGGCACGCAGAGAACATGGCGGGGTGTCACATTCAGGGGGGCACACAGGGGACATGGCGGGTTGTCACATTCAGCTGATTTTCACCCACAGCAAATCCCAGTACCCACAGTAACCATACACAGCTTTCCGTTACCCATAGCAACCATTTGATATGTAGGTCACATGACATGTAGGTCAGGGCGGGGCTGGGTGCTGTAAAGGTAGGCGGGACCTCTATACTCACCGCTCTTGCCCACTCCTCCGGCTCCCAGCATTACCAGTTTGTACTCCCGAGACCCTGCCGGGCCCCCTCCACCGCCTCCCCCAGACGAGGGCCGCCCAGCCGGCTCCATCGCTGTCCTGGAAGACGAGCCGAACTCACAGTGCCATTCGCACCGAAAGATGGCGGCCACTCTACGCTTCCTGATGGGCGGCACCCGAGTGACGTCACCCGGGGCGGGCATCCTCAGTGTCGGGAACGGGTCCCGCCCTCTACGTCTCCATGACGACCAAAGCGGCGGGAAGAGAATGAGAATGAGTGACGTAATCTTCTCAGCCTGTGACAAAGGCAGAGCTTTCTGTGACCAATCAGATCGTAGGAACAGGGAGGCCGTTGGTGACACAGACAGTGCTAACTGCAGGCAGACTGTAAAACTTGGACATGATAGATGAGGTTGGGGGATTGGTTTACTTGGAATCCCCAATGTACTAGTAAATCTGGGTGTGAGCTGAGGACTTGCTGCCAATGCTAGTAAATGTCGGTGTGACCCTGGGAACCGAGAGCGCAGCGTCCCTCAGTGTGACCCCGGGTGAGCATGGTGTCCCTCGGTGTGACCCCAAGAAAGTGAGTGTGGTGTCCCTCGGTGTGACCCCAAGAAAGTGAGAGCGGTGTCCCTCAGTGTGACCCCGGGAAAGTGAGAGCGGTGTCCCTCGGTGTGACCCCGGGAAAGTGAGCGTGGTGACCCCGGGAAGGTGAGCATGGCGACCCTCGTTGTGACCCCGGGAAAGGGAGTGCGGTGACCCGGGGAAAGTGAGAGCAGCATCCCTCGGTGTGACCCCGGGAAACTGAGAGCGGGGTTCCTCGGTGTGACCCCCCTGGGAATGTGAGAGAGCGGCGTTCCTTGGTGTGACCCCGGGAAAGTGAGCGCGGTGTCCCTCATTGTGAGCCCGGGAAACTGAGCACAGTCTCCCTCTGTGTGACTCCCCAGAAAGTGAGCGCAGTCTCCCTCTGTGTGAGCGCGGTGTCCCTCAGTGTGACTCCCCAGAAAGTTAGAGCGGTGTCCCTCAGTGTGACCCCGGGAAAGTGAGCGCAGTGTCCCTCGGAGTGACCCCGGGAAAGTGAGCACGTGTGTCCCTCAGTGTGACTCCCCAGAAAGTGAGCGCAGTCTCCTCTGTGTGAGCCCGGTGTCCCTCAGTGTGACTCCCCAGAAAGTGAGCGCAGTGTCCCTCGGAGTGACCCCGGGAAAGTGAGCACAGTCTCCCTCGGTGTGACCCCGGGAAAGTGAGCGCGGTGTCCCTCAGTGTGACTCCCCAGAAAGTTAGCACGGTGTCCCTCAGTGTTACCCCGGGAAAGTGAGCACAGTCTCCCTCCGTGTGACCCCGGGAAAGTTAGCGCAGTCTCCCTCTGTGTGACCCCGGGAAAGTGAGCACAGTCTCCCTCTGTGTGACCCCGGGAAAGTGAGCGCAGTCTCCCTCTGTGTGACCCCGGGAAAGTGAGCGCAGTCTCCCTCTGTGTGACCCCGGGAAAGTGAGCGCAGTCTCCCTCGGTGTGACTCCCCAGAAAGTGAGCGCAGTGCCCCTTGGTGTGACCACAGGAAAAGGAGAGCGGCGTCCCTCGGTGTGATCCCGGGAACGTGAGCACGGCGTCCTTCGGTGTGACCCCGGGAAAGTCTTTCCATGCAGAACTAACACTCCTATGAAATCAAGCTATGGGGGAGATCTCACACTCTGAACGCCTATTGTTTCTTGTGCTGCTTGTGGAGTGTGCAGGCAGATGCGGCCCTCTAATCATGTATGTTAGACAGAGGGCCTCCCGAGTACCCCTTGAGGAGTGAGCAGCCGCATCTGTAGCGGTGCATGTGGCAGAGAGGCAGCGGAAGGAGGGAACCATTGCACGTGCGGCCGGGGGCTTCATTTAGTGGGGGGCAGGGGGGGTGACGCCCGCGGGCCCTCGGCTGGTGGTATTCAGCATTGCTGTATAATCCTTATACAGCAATGCCGAATACCACCCAGCTACAGTCCCCCAAACCAGCCATCACCCACAGACTCCCCAACTACATCCAGGCTGCAGTACCTCTCCTTGGCGGCCAGTGGAGGGGAGGGGTCACAGGAGAGCGTCCTCACTCACGCTGACCCACATACCAGGATGTGGCTGTGGGTGCCTGCAGAGACGTGTATAGGCTCCGCCCCCGCCAGGCTAAATGTGATGTGATGGCCTGTTGTCTTCACAGCACACACGCCGGAGCATACAGCTGTCCCTCCTCCATGTGACAGACTTTACTGCAGTTCATTGTACAAAGTTTTTACAATGAACCGCAGTAAAGTCTGTGACACGGAGCTGGGCAGAGCAGAGTCGGGAGCGCTGCTTCGCCTGCGACCCGGTACCATTTGATCCACGGACCGGTACCGGGCCGCGGCCCGGGGGTTGGGGACCACTGCTCTATACAGTGCATTGACCTCACATCCTATACTATCCATCTCACAATGGAATTATGAAAGTATACTGAATTGTTATATTCCACATACAGGTTATACAGGATTGTTAGGTGTCAAATATTATCCACATGGGCACTGTGCAACAGGCTACTTGTAGTATCAGGCTACTTGTAGTATCATCACCTCAGGAAGCAAAGGGTGTCACCACCATACTCCTATGAAGTTAGGTGGTTATGGGGACCAATGTCTATTGGGACGCCGGCCTTTACATGCACATGTATAGCTAGGTGTGCAGGGCTCATATATTGGTGTGCAGCTATATATGATTTTGACCCTAGTGTCTTAAAGTACAGCAGCTCCAATATATTTATAGAATTTTAAATTAATTTTAAATTATTATTCACAATTTGAACTAGTTTTTAAAATATTTTAAACATTCTTAAAATCATCCATAAGCGCGGATTACACAGATTCCATTTACATGCACATGAACTTTAATGGCATTCCAGTCTTAGTCCGTAGGGTTCAATATTGAGTTAGCCCACCCTTTGCAGCTATAACAGCTTCAACTCTTCTGGGAAGGCCTCCACAAGGTTTAGGAGTGTGTCTATGGGAATGTTGGACCATTTGTGAGGTCAGGTACTGATGTTGGACGAGAAGGCCGGGCTCGCAGTCTCCGCTCTAATTCATCCCAAAGGTGTTCTATGGGGTTGAGGTCAGAACTCTGTGCAGGCCAATCAAGTTCCTCCACCCCAAACTCGCTCATCCATGTCTCTATGGACCTTGCTTTGTGTACTGGTGCGGAGTCATGTTGGAACAGGAAGGGGTCATCCCCAAACTGTTCCCACAAAGCTGGGAGCATGAAATTGTCCAAAATGTCTTGGTATGCTGATGCCTTAAGAGTTCCCTTCACTGGAACTAAGGGGCCAAGCCCAACCCCTGAAAGACAACCCCCCCACAATCCCCCCTCCACCCAACTTTACACTTGGCACAATGCAGTCAGGCAAGTACCGTTCTCCTGGCAAACGCCAAACCCAGACACATCCATCGGATTGCCAGACAGAGAAGCGTGATTCGATTGGAGAACACGTCTCCCCTTCTCTAGAGTCCAGTGGCGGCGTGCTTTACACCACGGCATCCGACGCTTTGCATTGCACTTGGTGATGTAAGGCTTGGATGCAGCTGCTCGGCCATGGAAACCCATTCCATGAAGCTCTCTACGCACTGTTGTTGTGCCAATCTGAAGGCCACACGAAGTTTGGAGGTCTCTAGCTATTGACTCTGCAGACAGTTGGCGACTTCTGTGCGCTTCAGCATGCGCTGACCCCGCTCTGTCATTTTATGTGGCCTACCACTTTGTGGCTGAGTTGCTGTTGTTCCCAGTTGCTTTCCACTTTCTTTTAATACCACTAACAGGTGACCACGGAATATTTAGTAGCAAGGAAATGTCACGGATGGACTTATTGCACAGGTGGCAACCTATCACGGTACCACGCATGAATTCACTGAGCTTCTGAGAGCGACCTATTCTTTCACAAATGTCTGTAGAAGCCTCTGCATGCCGAGGTGCGTGATTTTTTTACACCTGTGGTCATGGAGGTGATTAGAACATCTGAATCCAATGATTTGGAGGGGTGTCCCAATACCTTTGGCAACATAGTGTATATGTGATTGGGGCCCTTTTCGGGGGTATAATAATAAAACATTAATATTTTTCTATAGCAACATATAGGTTATGGCTTGTTTTGACGATTGACTAAAACAAACATGTGTTCCATCTGGCCTCTTTAATGACGTTGGTTAGTGGGAACCATTCGGTCTTTGATACCCAAGAGATTCTCTGTGGGACAAATCTGTACTTGCCCAGGTGGATGTGGTACTCCGATCTGATCAGACCATCCCTGAATCAGTGATTCCTACGATGTTGAGGCCTAGGAAGTATACTTACCACAAGGTCTATCATCAGACATAAAAGGAATACTTCACTTGGTGTGGGACAAATCTCCTTCCTACAGCTGGCCCTTCACCAGCGCCTTGCTCTGGGCACCATCAAGGGTCAGCTGCAGGCAGAGGATGAAGATGGAGGGCATTCCAGTGATTCTCATAAGTCTGGACTCGCCCAGGTAGATGTGATACTCTGACTTGATCAGACCTCCATGGGCTCTTCCAGATCGTCTAGTTCTGTCTCAAGGACCGATTTACCATCCTGCTTCACAGTTGCTGTCTTTAAGGGTTGTTGAAGCCCAGGTTCTGGGAGACTAAGGCATCCCTGAATCAGCGATTCCTATGAGGTTAAAGGCTAGGAAGTCTACTTTCTATTCCATAAGATTTATCTATCGTCAGACATGTAAGGCATACTTCACTTGGTGTGAGTCTCAGGGCTTCTCCTTGGGACAAATCTTCTCCTTCCTACATCTGGGTCTTGAGCAGCACCTTTCTCTCAGCACCATCAAGGGTCTGTTGCAGGCAGGATGGAGGGCATTTTAATGGTCCTCATAGCTCTGTACTTGCCCAGGTGGATGTGGTACTCTGATCTGATCAGACCATCCCTGAATCAGTGATTTGAGGGCTAGGAAGTCTACTTACCACTATGTATATCATGGAACATCAAAGGCATACTTTGCTTGGTGCGAGTCTCAGGGCTTCCACCCTAAAAGGTTCTCTGTGGGACAGATCCTCTCCTTCCAACATCTGGACCTTCACCAGTGCCTTGCACTGGGCACCTTTAAGGGCCAGTTGCTGGAAGAGGATAGAGATGAAGGGCATTCCAGTGGTCCTCAGCTCTGGACGTGCCCAGGCGGATATGGTACTCCAATCTGATCAGACCATCCCTGAATCTGATTCTTATGATGTTGAGGGCTAGGAAGTCTGATTACCACATGGTCTATCATTGGACATGAAAAGCACGCTTCACTTGGTATGAGTCTCAGGGCTTCCACCCTGAAAGGTTCTCTGTGGGACAAATCTCCTTCCTACAGCTGGGCCTTGACCAGCACCTTGATCTGGGCACCATCAAGGGTCATCTGCAGGCAGGGAGGAAATGGAGGGCATTTCAGTGGTCCTCATAGTTCTGTACTTGCCCAGGTGGATGTGGTACTCTGATCTGATTAGACCATCCCTGAATCAGTGATTTGAGGGCTAGAAAGTCTACTTACCACAAGGTCTATCATGAAACATGAAAAGCATGCTTCACTTGGTGTGAGAATCAGGGCTTCCACCCTAAAAGGTTCTCTGTGGGACAAATCCTCTCCTTCCAACATCTTTGCCTTGACCAGCGCCTTGCTCTGGGCACCATCAAGGGTCAGTTGCAGGCAGGATGGAGGGCATTTCAGTGGTCCTCTTAGCTCTGTACTTGCCCAGGTGGATGTGGTACTCCGATCTGATCAGACCATCCTTGAATCAGTGATTCCTACGATGTTGAGGCCTAGTAACTCTACTTAACACAAGGTCTATAATGAAGCATAGAAGGCATACTTCACTTGGTGTGAGTCTCAGGGCTTCCACTCTAAAAGGTTCCCTGTGGGAAAAATCTCCTTCCTACAGCTGGGCCTTGACCAGCACCTTGCTCTGGGCAACATCAAGGGTCAGCTGCAGGCAGGAAGGAGATGGCGGGCATTTCAGTGGTCCTCATAGCTCTGTACTTGCCCAGGTGGATGTGGTACTCCGATCTGATCAGACCATCCCTGCATCAGTGATTCCTACGATGTTGAGGCCTAGGAAGTCTACTTACCACAAGGTATATCATGGAACATGAAAGGCATACATCACTTGGTGCGAGTCTCAGGGCTTCCACCCTAAAAGGTTCTCTGTGGGATAAATCCTCTCCTTCCAACATCTTTGCCTTGACCAGCACCTTGCTCTGGGCACCATCAAAGGTCAGTTGCAGGCAGGATGGAGATGGTGAGCATTTCAGTGGTCCTCATAGCTCTGTACTCACCCTGGTGGATTTGGTACTACGACCTGATCAGACCTCCATGGGCTCTTCCAGATCATCCGTTTTTTCTGTCTCAAGGATCGATTTACCATTCTGCTTCACGGTCACTGTCTTTAGAGCTGTTGAAGCCGAGGTTTTGAGGCACCAAGCCATCCCTGAATCAGTGATTCCTACGATGTTGACGGCTAGGAACTAGAAGTCTACTTACCACAAGGTCTATTAGGAAACATGGAAGGCATACTTCACTTGGTGTGAGTCTCAGGGCTTGCACCCTAAAAGGTTCGCTGTGGGACAAATCTTCTCCTTCCTACAGCTGGGCCTTGACCAGCACCTTGCCCTGGGCACCATCAAGGGTCAGTTGCAGGCAGAGGATGAAGGTTGCAGGTGGACATCCACTGGGCCTTAGAACCTTGCCGAGGTTGCCTAGCCTTGCCTTGATCAGGCTCTGGTTAGTGCTGTGAAATGTTTTTGGTGGCTCAGTCTGTTTGCTTTGCATGAATGACTATAAACCTCTTTGTGTACTACGGAACAAACACAACGCGTGCACAATGTTCTCTTCCCCAGAGAGCCGGCCAAGGTTAATGGAGTCAGATGATGTAATGGAGTGGGGTGATGTAATGCAGTCAGGGACATAGCACGCCACACCTGACACCACACGAGTGAATCCATTTTTATTTGGTGAGTTAACAAATCCAAGTAAGGTAAGTTAGCATAGTTACATAGTAGTGCTGCACAGAGGTACGCATAGTGTTCATATCACAAGTACGGGGGAGGGGTGGGGGGAATGGAGGCACTTGCGGGACCTCACATAATAGCGGAATATTACAGGATTCCATGATGATCTCCCCTCCCTGCGCACACAATACACACACACAGCTCCTCCTCGGTGTCTGCCCTCACTGGAATCATTCATGTCAGCATAATGGTCCGGGGCCCCTGTCACTGCACACTGGAGGGGCCACGCCCAGGCTGGCAGAGACATCTCCATTACACCAGAATAAGACACATCGCACAGATCCACAATGCACAGATCTGGATTTAACTGAATTCTATAGAATATATACAGAGGGGTCCGTGTGTGAGATTACAGAGGGATCCGTGTGAGATTACAGAGGGATCTGTGTGCGAGATTACAGAGGGGTCCGTGTGAGAGATTACAGAGGGATCCGTGTGAGAGATTACAGAGGGATCTATGTGAGAGTCTACAGAGGGATCCGTGTGAGAGATTACAGAGGGATCTGTGTGCGAGATTCCAGAGGGATCCGTGTGAGAGATTACAGAGGGATCTGTGTGAGAGATTACAGAGGGATCCGTGTGAGATTACAGAGGGATCCGTGTGAGATTACAGAGGGATCCGTGTGTGAGATTATAGAGGGATCTCATTCATGTGAGAGATTACAGAGGGATCCGTGTGAGAGATTACAGAGGGATCCATGTGAGAGATTACAGAGGGATCCGTGTGAGATTACAGAGGGATCCGTGTGTGAGATTACAGAGAGATCTGTGTGAGAGGGATCTGTGTGAGAGATTACAGAGGGATCTGTGTGAGAGATTACAGAGGGATCTGTGTGAGAGATTACAGAGGGATCCATGTGTGAGATTACAGAGGGATCAGTGTGAGATTACAGAGGGATCTGTGTGAGAGATTACAGAGGGATCTGTGTGAGAGATTACAGAGGGATCTGTGTGAGAGATTACAGAGGGATCCGTGTGAGAGATTACAGAGGGATCTGTGTGAGAGATTACAGAGGGATCCGTGTGAGAGTTTACAGAGGGATCCGTGTGAGATTACAGAGGGATCTGTGTGAGAGATTACAGAGGGATCCGTTTGTGAGATTACAGAGGGATCTCATTCATGTGAGAGATTACAGAGGGATCCGTGTGAGAGATTACAGAGGGATCTGTGTTAGAGGGATCAGGGGGATCCGTGTGAGAGATTACAGAGGGATACGTGTGTGAGATTACAGAGGGATCTCATTCATGTGAGAGATTACAGGAGAGTCTGTGTGAGAGATTACAGAGGGATCTTTCTGATAGATTACAGGTGGATTTCATTCATGTTATAGATTACAGAGGGATCTCATTCATGTGAGAGATTACAGGAGAGTCTGTGTTGGAGATTACAGAGGGATCTTTCGGATAGATTACAGGTGGATCTCATCCATGTGAGAGGGTACGGGTGGATCCAATTTGTAGGAGGGATTATAAATGATCCCATTCTAGTAACCTTCTTCCTGTCTCTGTCCTGTCTCTGTCATACTCTGGATCTGTTTTTGGAGTCTAAATCATATTAAATAAAGGTGATCATTATACTGATTTCTATGAAATTATAGAGGGATCCTATAACTTTACAAGATCCTGGAGGGATCTATTTAATATTAGAACAATGAAGCTGGAATCCAGCGCTCACATCCAATCATGAAGCGGGATCTGTTATCAGTTATGGGACCTTCCCTACTAATCCCCCGAAATCCGGATATTTTCTGGCATTGATTACATAGCTGGGGGTGGGGGGGTGAAAGGATTCCTCAAGCCTTACAAAGATGGCCAATCATTGGCTCTTCCGAGGCGTAAATGGATTTAGTATGTTTAGGATCTCCCAATGTGTTCTCTCTATTACGGGGGGGGGGCGCTAATAAAGTTATTCTGACACTCAACAAACACACTTGATGATCCATAAGATCCTTCTAGGGTCCACACTCCACCTCCCCCGTCCCATGGCAGGATGTGTGTGTGTGAGTCCAGAAATCTCCCATGGTATCACAGTCCTGCCACAGAGCAGCGCCGGAAATCGGCGACAATCCCCCCCTTGAAGCACATCGCCTGGCCAGATGGGCCAGTCAGTACGATTAATGACCTCCAAACTCGTGAAGACGGGATAGCGGCTATTGCTGAAGAGCATCACTGGGAGTGCAAGAGGAGCACCAAACCTGATACGACCGCCGAGCGGCGTCCAACCAATACAGCCACCTCGGCATCGCACATTGATCGCAAAGGGCCACGCTGCTTTTTTTCCTTTGAGCTCAAATCTATAGAAATATAAATAAGACACAAAGCAGGAAACCAAAACATGGGGAGGGGGGGAGCCGTCACCAGGCTATTAAAAAGGGAAAGGTGCACAGTGTACAAGCCCAACAGCTTCCACTGGCCTCAGAGCCACCGGGGACCAGGGAGGTGAGGATGACATGCACAGGGCGTCCGGACAGACAGACGGATAGAGCCTGCCTACACATGCAAACACAGGAATATAGTCCATATAGGAGTACGTACGGAGAGCATCACCTTATCTGGTGGTTAAGTTAGTGTTATAGTGTCCTGCAAAACATCAGAAGAATTGACAGTCTAGAAAAGTTTGATCTACCACTAAAACGAGGGTAAACCCCGTCAGCGTTCGGCAGGCCTTCAAAGGCGCCTCGGTCACTGGGGGGGAGGGGTTCAACAGGATTACACAAAAAAAAAAATGGACAATCTCCTGCCCACCTTCCTTCCATCCACCGCCAAAACTGTGTTCTCCCTTTCACCCTGCTCTTCTGCCCTGCTCGGAGAAGACACCGCCACCCCCACCCCTCCTTAGTACTCGGACAAACTGTGCCACTTGGCAACCAGCTTCCGTGGGTTATCACACACCTCCCGCCAATGTTCGATGCCGTTGGCCGTGACGCTGTGTGCTCCCAGGATGAGGCGGCCCACCACTTGGTTCTTGGTGGTGCGATCAAAGTCGATGACCAGGAACTCAATGCTGATTTCTGGCAGGAGCTCGGAGGGGATGTCGTAGATAAAGGACTCGTTGAAGACGGGGCTCAGCGTGCACTTCTTGACATGAGTCTTCTTCTTGGCGATGCGTTTCCTGCCGTAGTAAACGTTGACCTTGACGTATGGGTCTGTGGAGGAGAGGAAACTGGCACATTAGACTGTTCCAGAAATCTGTGTGTGGTTAGGAACTACAATGTCACCATCACCACCACCATACTACACCACCATCTCCACTACACCACCACTTCCATCACTACCACCATTCCACACCAGCATCTCCACTCCACCACTACCACCATTCCACACCAGCATCTCCACTCCACCACCACCACCACCACTCCACCACCATTCCACACCAGCATCTCCACTCCACTAGCACTCCCACCATTCCACACCAGCATCTTAACTCCAATCCACTACCACCATTCCACACCAGTATCTCAACTCCACCACCACTACCACCATTCCACACCAGCATCTCCACTCCACTCTACCACCATTCCACACCAGCATCTCCACTCCACCACCAAGACTCCACTCCGCCACCACTACCACCATTCCACACCAGCATCTCCACTCCACTCCACAACCACTATTACCCCCATCATCACTACCACCATTCTGCACCACCATCCCCACTACCAGCATTTCATACCAGTACCACCGCCTAAACTGCGCTTAACCTCCTAGATGTTAAAGAGGAACTCCAAACAAAGCAACATTTTCAAAAGTACATAACCAACAGACATGTTAGTATTTTTTTTGGATGCCCCATTGTGAAGAAAACACAACCCTTCCAGATTCCTCCCGATCTTGAAGGAGGTCTACAAATCTCTTATAGCCACCAGCTCTACCGTCCAAGCCACGCATTCAGCTAAAGAGTTCAAGAGCAACTTCATTCAGCCTTTCGGGTGACACACAGACATCTACTAGCTGCTGATGTTTCAGCAGCAGTGCCACATACAATACTTCTCTCAAGAGTCCTGATGTAAGCAGTGGGCTGGCTCTTGGAAGGAGTTATACAAATATCAAAAGGCCTTGCTACATACTTCATCCTTGCAGTGTCACCTACGTCACCCTCGCACTTCCACATACTTCACCTGCACAGTGCCACATACTTCACCTGCACAGTGCCACATGCTTCACCCGTACAGTGCCACATACTTCACCCTCACAGTGCCACATATTTCACCCGCACAGTGCCACATACTTTACCTGCACAGTGCCACATACTTCACCTGCACAGTGCCACATACTTCACCCGCACAGTGCCACATACTTCACTTTTACAGTGCCACATACTTCACCCTCACTGAGCCACATACTTCACCCATTCAGTGCCACATACTACACCCTCGCAGACAACATACTTCATCCTTGTAGTCCCACCCTCACAGCGTCACATACTTCACCACCACAGAGGCACATACTGTGACGGACTGAACCGTCACTGGGGCTGTTGGAGGAGCCTGAGGGCTAGCCTCCTTCCTACTGACTATGGACCTAGGACTATGGAGACCCCCCCTCGGACCTCTTGGGGTTACAATGAACCATTCTCCTAGGTTTATGTGTGGAGGGATGTACTGCATATTTTCCCTGGCATTACATGTAAGTGACCTTGTGTTTATTATAGGTACAGGCTGTGAATCCAGCAGCGCTGGAGGGGGATAATTCTGGACATTTAACTTGTTACAGTTTATTGACCCCTTTGTTGTATTGTGTGGATGATGGGATTAGGATAGCTGATTCTAGGAGTAGCTGACTCCGGGTATAGATGAGTAGATCACCCTATGATACACTCAGGAGTTAATCCCATCACATGTGTCTCCTCTCTCCCTATTCATTCATTAAGGCATCGGGGAGGGGGAGGGGATGTCTGTTTGCATGCTGTTCATGTTTGATTGCGATGTGTTTTTAGACTTCCAGAACTGTATATATACTGAGCCGGTGTTCAATAAAGGCAGTTCTTGTTTTCCTCTTCAACATTGGTGTTGTCTGATGATTGAGGAGGTTAGCGTTCTGTCCTAATATTAGGCAGGTTTGGGCTGAGGACACTGGAATTCGGGTTTTAGCGGAGAGGAAGCTGATTTCTGACGGAGTTACCCAGTCGAGGTACCAGGTGGTCCGTCACAAATACTTCACCCATGCAGTGCCACATACTTCACCCCCACAGTGCCACATACTTCACCCTCGCAGTGCCACATACCTGACCCCCACCGGGGCAAATACTTTACCTGCACAGTGCCACATACTACACCCCCGCAGACAACATACTTCATCCTTGCAGTGCCACATACTTCACCCTCGCAGTGCCACATACCTGACCCCCACAGGGGCAAATACTTTACCTGCACAGTGCCACATACTACACCTCCGCAGACAACATACTTCATCCTTGCAGTGCCACCCTCACAGTGCCACATACTTCACCCTCACAGAGGTACATACCTAACCCATTCAGTGCCACATACTTCACCTGCACAGTGCCACATACTTCACCTGTGCAGTGCCACATGCTTCACCCTCGAAAAGCCACATACTTAAACCTTGCAGAGCCACATACTGCAACCTCGCAGTGCCGCATACTTCACCCGAACAGTGCCACATACTTCACATGCACAGTGTCACATACTTCTTCACAACCCCCCAGACAACATGCTAAACTTTCTTTTAGTTCATGCCACAAAAGAGCAGGAGCTGTGTAACCCATCTTACATTGTCATTGGTATTTGGGATGGAATACATAAAACTATATCATATAATAATACCACAATCACCCTAATGTTGAAGATAACCAGTGAGGATAGAAATATAAGATGCCATTGCTGACTTGTTTTTTTTAGGTGCAGGCTTCAGCGCTATTACAACCTAGCAAGTCACTGAACTGGAACAAGCATGCTGCTAGTGAAATGGGAAAAGTCTGAACACCCATTGTGCCTACTTATTTCACCCGAGACCAGGATGAGCCTTCTGAACCTTTAAATAGTAAGCAATGGCGGCTCCTATGCTACTCTCTCAACAGGTTCCCTTTAACCCTGAGCTTGTTTGATTGGCCATAGCCCAGGAAGTAGCATGCACATTCAGCGACTCTGCCCCAGGATGGATAAATAGCTGCTACCTGACAGTCCGGTGATGTCCACCCTCGGGAGGTGTTTGGCTTTCAGCACGATAACGGTCATCCTCTGCGCCACAGGCTGGTAAGAAAGCGAGACCTGCAATTCTCCCCGACTCATGCACTTCTGTGGAGAGAGGGACGACTGCGATTACAATGGCGGCTACAGCCTCATTTCTGGATCCAACATGTGAGCTTTACACTGAACCTTGTTATCTGGCTCCTAAATCCAAGCGATTGGCTACTGAACTCTATGCCAATTTTTACCTCCCTAAGCCAGTTGCACTCAACATATAACCAAATCCAATGTGTCCCATATTCCTGCCAGAGGAAAATGGTTTAACCCTCTCATGACCGATGCCTTTTTTTTTCTTCCATTTTTTGTTTACATGTCATAATCCACATTTTAGGCCTGATAAATACTTAAAACCCCCAAACATTATATATTTTCTGAAAGCCAAGACCCTATAGAATAAAATGGTGGCAGTTGCAAATTTTTATGTTGCACGATATTAGCGCAACTCCTTATCAAACCCCAAATTGTAGTGAAAAATGCACTTAAATGCCCCAAAGCACAATAAAATACCCATTTTTTAATAACATATAAAAGATGAGGTTACAATGAGTAAATAGATACCCAACATGCCCAGGTTAAAAATTGTGTGCGTCCGTGAAACCGCGACAAAATTCAGTATCACAAAAAGTCTATAGACCACGCTTTAAAAGCCCCAACAGGTCATCAGTTTAGAGATACGCATAAATACTGTACCTAGAATTATTGCTCTCACTACGGCATGCATTGCAATACCCAACATGTGTAGAGCGATCGTTGTTTTCATACGTAGGCGCACCCAACGCATGTTTATGCGACGACACGTGGGCTTGCGGGGGAGGGGGACTTTAAACATTATTTTTACATTTATTTAATTTAATAATAATTTTAAAAAGTTATTTTTTTAAACTTTACTTTAATTGCTATCACATAGGGGGGCTTACAAGCACCCCATGTGATAGCATATTGGCAGTGACAGGTCCTCTTTAAGGTGACGCTGGGTGTCCAAAAGACCCCTAGTATCACCTTTACACTCCAAAAAAGCTATTGAGGTGCAGATCGCAGGCTTCAGGCGCCGAACAATGACAGCTATGGGACCGGAAGTGATGTCATCTGCATTGCTCCCGGTCCCATAGTACGGGGAGGGGATCGGCAAACGGAGGTTCACTGATCTCCTCCCCAGCTTCCCCCCGACACCAGAGAAGCCGGTCCTGGGTCCGTAGGAGGGGCAACGGAGCCTGGGAAACATGGCAGGGGGTGTCGGGCCCCGTTTGCTGGCCCATAGAAGCGATCTGGCGGCAGCTGAGCCGCCAGAATTGCTTCTACTGTAAAGCCGACAGCCGGCTTTACAAGTTTAAACAGAGTCCCAGTGGAGACCCGATGCCAGTGACGAACACTGTACGTACTGGTCATGAAGGGGTTAAATCGTTTTTGACCCAAAACCGGAGCTGTAACTCCTGCAATAAGATGACCTGGGAAGGACTAGGTGGAGGTATGCTTGTACATGCAGTTAGGCATGGGAGTTTTGCCAGGACTAGTGTTGTGTACCTTGTGGACATAAACAGTATAGAGCGCTATAGTGCTTGGCCTTCACACCATTTCTATGATCTATTCCTTGATGAAGGTTCTGGGATTCACTCCACTTGTGCTTAACAGACTAAATGTAGGAAAACTAACCTGAATGTTCCTCTTGATGATTTCCCTGGTTAGCTGCACTTTGCCGGTGCTGGGGTCCACACCGGCCAGCGGCACCATCACCTCTCCAATGACGTCATCTCGAGAGAAGCGGTCGAAGCTCAAGACGAGGAAGTGAAGGACGATGTCCTGGAGCTGGCTGTAGGGGATGCCATAAAAGGTGAAGGTTTCATCAAAGACGGGATTGAGGGTCTTCCTCATGACCCGAGTCTTCACCCGGTGTTTCTTATCTGGCAGGATGGTCATCTTGATGTATGGGTCTGATCCATGAGAGTGTTCATCCATCACCGGTAGGCCGTGCGCCTCCTGTATGGTGACCACCAGAGCTTTCTTGGGGAAGTTATAATCCACGGAGAGGGTCAGTGTCCCGAGGGCCACGTCTTCGTCGGGAGAGCAAGGGGATGACGTCTTACTGGCGCTGGAGGTCAGACTTTGACTTGGGCTTACTTCATCTCCGTAGTTCATAGTAATGGGCAGCTGGTTGATGGATGTAGCAGTAGCTAGGCCATTGGGACCTTTCTCTGAGGTCATCAGGCCCACCTCGGCGTTGTCCAGCAATATGTTCCCCCGTGGATTCTCTGCATCTACGGGCTGTTTATCTCTGCGGATATTCAAGTGTTTCTTCTTATTACTGAGTGTCTCTGGGTAGATACTGATCCCCTTCAGCATGTGTATAAACTTATATGGAGGATTCTTGTTTTTCTTCTCCGCCCGGTTGACGCAGCAACTCCAGATAAAAATTGTGACTGAGACAGAGACGACCAGGACGGCGGCTCCAATGAAGCCGGCCGCTATGGGCGACATATCTGCGGGAAAAATGGAGAAAGGGGCATTGCTGAGTGCGTGATCACGCGCATAACAATTATAGAACTGGAAATGGGGAAGACAAATACTATGAGCAGTGCACCATGTGTTGTCACTTGATATTGATCTCCTCTTAAGGCTGCACTCATGGGAAATGTCAAAACTACCCTTGCAGTAGGACTTCCCTCGCCCTGCAAGGGTTAAATGTTCATTTGGTCTATGGGGTCATTAAACCAGTTCTACTTACCTTACCCCTCTTGGCCTTCTCTCTTCCTCCGACGCTTCAGGTTTTAGGTGGATCCTCAGTGTCCTCATTTACAACATAGGACTGCTGGTCTTATGTTGTATGTGATGATGTTAGAGTACCTGCAATGTAGCACCAATGAGAAGTGTCTGTGGAGGTTCTCATTCATCCAGATCCAATGAGAAGTGGTTTGGGAGGGTGCGGTAATGGTACCCAAGACCAAAATGAGCATTTAACCCTGACAGTCAGGGGGAGCCCCACTGCAAGGGTAGCTTTGAATTCTCCCCGGAGCTCAGCTTTGATATACAGACAACAGGACAGACTGAGCTCTCTATACACAGGGGCCCGAGGATGACAAACTCTCCTCTACACCAACACAGGACTGATGTCCTGGGTCAATAGACAGGGGAATAGAGGGTTCTTGGGGCTTTGTCATTTTCTAAAAGCAAGGCTTCTGTGGGGTGTCATGTGATCGGAGTGAGCACCCCTGGGTATAGATCATGTGACTAGTAAGTGCTCCTGTGCATGGATCATGCGATCATAGTGAGGACCAGATTTCCATTTCAGGCTCCTGTAGGCACGGATGGAAATCTGTTTAGCCTCATCCGGCGCCCTTACCTGCTGCGGGACCCACCGGCTTTCACATATGCAGAGAAGGACCCCAGCGTCGCATAAGGCTGGTCTAAATGCCTGTCTGCATCAGAAAGGCGTTTTACAGGGCAGCCTTACACACCGCGAGGGTCCTTCCCTTGCGTTTGCGGAAGCCGGCAGTTCCTGTTGGCGCCGCTGGTCTTGGAGCAGCAGGGTGCATTGTGTGCAGAGTGCACCCTCCTTGCTATTGCCGCTGTTGTATCTTGACACAACACCCGGAATAAGGCAGGTAGGTACTGGCACGGCGCCTCTCTATGGAGGGCACATGTGCCTACTCTGCCTAATGGTAAATTCGGCCCTGGTGAGGGCCCCTGGAAAAGAGTCATGTGATCAGGGTAAAGGGGGGGGGGGATTAGTCATGTGATCACAGTGTAAGCCCCCAGAAGTGCCATGTGATTAGAGTGAGGCCTGTTTGATGTGATACATGTAAGTGCCTTTTGGGGATTAGTCATGTGATCACAGTGAGGGCCCCAGGAGAAGTGTCATGTGATCAGAGTGAGGCCTGTTTGATGTGATACATAAAAGTGCCTTTTTGGGATTAGTCATGTGATCACAGTGAGGGCCCCAGGAGAAGTGTCATGTGATCAGAGTGAGGCCTGTTTGATGTGTCATGTGATACATGTAAGTGCCTTTTGGGGATTAGTCATGTGATCGCAGTGAAGGCCCCTGGGGAGGAGTCATGTGATCAGAATGGGGACCACTGAGGTGGAGTCAAGTGATATGACTATTGCACCTCCATGGAACAATGATTATGCCCCGGGCACAGCGTAACCATCGCTCGCAGGGGCCCCAAACTCACATTGTAAGTCCCCGTCATGAACCTACAGAAAGATCTGTGCTGAGACACATCAACAACAAACATAAATCTTATCAATACATAGCCAGACATTATAACAGGAAACTGACGCACCACAGCAATGCAATGTCCTTCGGGGGCCATAGCAGACCTTGGCCCCAGCCGTCCAGCATGATCCACGGGCCACACAGTGCATGGATAGGGACCCTAAGGCAATTTTATCTCCCAAGGGCCCCAAGCTGGCTCTGAGCCCAGAGATGACATAAACAGCTTAGGCCATGGACCTGGACCAGCATGCAATGAGGAATCAAACGGCCCAGGGTGTAGAGAGAAATCAGGGGCCCCAGCGTGTGGAGGAGAATCAGGGGCCCCATGGTCTAGAGAGGAATCAGGGGCCCCAGCAAGTGTTGGTGTCTCATGGGCCCCAGAAATCCCCCAGACACGATGATGAAGTATATTCGGGGACCCCTGTAGCATCCAGGCCCCTGAATCATTATCTCATCTCTGTCTAGTGGCATCCGGGGCCCCAATGTGTACGATGGTATGATGATAATAAGTCAGGGGATTGACTGATGACACAGGGGTCCCATGATGCCCGGGACTCCAGGGGATGTTGACCATTGAGGGGCCCCGGGGCATCTCTTACCGTAGCTGGGGGCGAGGCTGGTGATCTCCGCCATGCTGGCCCGATTCGGCTCTACTTCATGTCCCGCTGATGATGCTGCAGATGATGCTGATCCGGGCGCTGGTCCTGATGCAAGCCAAGGTCCCACCCACCGCTGCCGAACTCTGGCCTCTCCCAGCGGCCGGAAACTGCCGAACGCACGAACATCCGCCGCCATCTTGCTACACCCTGCAGCCGCCCAGACACAAAAGTCCTCGGGCGGACGGCTACTGCTGGGGTGTAGGAAGATGGAGGGGGTGAATATGCTTTCTTTGGAGTATGATAAAGGATATGAAGAGTACTACATGTGAGGAGACTGCAGTGACTTGATAATGAGGGGCTGGTACTAGTCAATAGAAAATACATATAATATGGCAGTGAAAAGACACTAGAGGATGTGTATGCAGAGAAGGATAGCAGGCGCCATGTCGACAGTAGTAGGAGGCTTCTGGAGCTGTTATAGGCTGAGCTGCAAACAATTATTCCAAGACTGGACATTCATGGACACACTGATTGTACAATCTCATTTAGATTTATGATCAGCAGCGTAATATCACGGCTTAACCAAAAATGTCTACTCAGTTTATATCTGATGAGGCCCTCACTACACGAGAAAGGAGCTCCTCGGGGAGGAGAGCAATGGAGAGGAAAGGAGATCCACTGAGAGGGGAGGAAGGGAAGGAGATCCCCGGGGAGATGAGAAAAGGAGAGGGAAGGGAATCCCAAGAGAGGAGAGGGAAGGGAAGGAGATCCCCTGAGAGGAGAAGGAAGGGAAGTAGATCCCCAGGGAGGGGAGGAGAGGGAAGAGAAGGAGATCCCCTGAGAGGAGAAGAAAGGGAAGAAGATCCCCTGAGAGGAGAAGGAAGGGAAGAAGATCCCCAGGGAGGGGAGGAGAGGGAAGAGAAGGAGATCCCCATGGAAGGGAGGAGAGGGAAGGGAAGAAGATCCCCTGAGAGGAGAAGGAAGGGAAGAAGATCCCCAGGGAGGGGAGGAGAGGGAAGGAAATCCCCAGGGATGGGAGGAGAGGAAAGGGAAGGAGATCCCCAGGGAAGGGAGGAGATAGAAGGGAAGTAGATTTCCATGGAGAAAAGGAGATTCCCTGGGAGGAGAGGTAAGGAAAGGAGATCCCCAGGGAGGGAGGGGATGGGAAGGAGATCCCCTGAGAGGAGAAGGAAGGGAGGAAAATCCACAGGGAGAAGGAAGGGAATGAGATCCCCAAGGAGGAAAGGGGATCCCCTGAGAGGAGAGAGAAAGGTGCTCCCTGGGGAAGAAGTGGTAGGGAAGGAGCTCCCTGGGCAGGAGGGAAGAGGAAGAAGGGAAAAAGATCTCCGGGAGGAGGAGGGAAGGAGAGCCCCAGGGAGGAGAGGAAAGGGAAGATTGCTAGGGAGGAGAGGGAAGGGAACGAGAGGGAAGGGGATTACCAAGAAGGAGAGGGAAGGCAAGGAGTTTCCCCTTAGAGCAGAAGGAAGGGAAGGAAATCCCCTGGGAGGACAGAGATAGGCAGGAGGGGGAAGGGAAGATTTGGGGGGGAGGAAAGGGAAGGGGATCCCCAGGGAGGAGAAAGAAAAGGAGCTAAGGAGAGAAGGGAAGGAGCTCTCCAGGGAGGAGAGGGATGGGAAGAATATGGGGGCAGTGGGAAGGGAAGCTGATCCCCAGGGAAGGTGCTCCCTGGGAAGGGAAGGAGATCTCTATGGAGGAGTAAAAAGAGTTCCCTATATACATAGTAAACCCTAAAACTAGGGTCCCCCACAGGGCATTTTAGGGGGGCTGTCATAGAGAGACATGGAAGCTACCATTGCTCAGCTTCTTTGAATTGTTGCTTCTTTGGCTGCTATGCTGGTCCTCTGGCTTCAGTAGTGAGTCCCTGTCCCAGAACATGTATGTATGCCGGTCATGTGTTCTGAATCTGTCAGCCTTCCTGATCTCTAAACGTGTTCATGTCAGAGACTCGAAGTATCTAAGCCGGAAGATCAGCATGACAGCCAGACACGTAGACTTGTCACACAGCGGTCAGTGATATCAGGATAATACAGCTCAGGACAAGTTCACGTTATCAGAAATATCGCTGACATATATTGCCGTGTCAGTATGTATGACAGCGAGCGGAACCCCTGACCCTCACATACTGATCGGTATGGAGAGCTGAGCAGCACAAAGTCAGACAACCGCCCCAGCCCCGCCCATGTCATGTGACACTACGCCGTGCCTAAGAGATAAAGAAATGGGCTCACTGCGCAGGCGCGGGATCTTGAGGGGGCGGGGTTGGCGCAGTGTTGATCCGAATGAGAAGATGGCGGCCACCAGGTAGCGGGAAACCCGGGAGAGCGGCGAGTTGCTCTTACGCCTGACAACCACCCTACCCCGTGTGTTATAGATCCAGCTGGGGCCGTTACCCCTGACAACCACCCTACCCGTGTGTTATATACCCAGCTGGGGCCGTTACCCCTGACAACCACCCTACTACCCCAGTGTTATATACCCAACCGGGGCCACTACTTCTTACAACCACCCTACCCATTTGTTATATACCCAGCCGGGGCCATTACCCCTGACAACCACCCTACCCGTGTGTTATATACCCAGCTGGGGCCATTACCCCTGGCAACCACCCTACCCCTGTGTTATATACCCAACCGGGGCATTACTTCTGACAACCACCCTACCCATTTGTTCTATACCCAGCTGGGGCCATTACCCCTGACAACCACCCTACCCCTGTGTTATATACCCAGCTGGGGCCATTACCCCTGACAACCACCCTACCCCTGTGTTATATACTCAACCGGGGCCATTAGCCAGTCACAGAGGGGGAATTATTTCTGGGACACCTCCAATTTCCAGGTCAGGTGTAATTAGAGGAGCCAGTCACCGAGCGGGAATTATTTCTGGGAGACCTCGTATTTCTAGGTCAGGTGGAATCGCAGGAGCCAGTCACAGAAGGGGGAATTATTTCTGGGATGAAGGACATCTGAGGGGTCATTCTAATTCTTTAGTGCCAGAGTACATGGGCTTTGTGTAACTGACTTGCGTTTGAGCTGCTTCTCCATTGACCTGTTTTGTACGGGGGGGTCCTGTGTCCATAGTTCCTCACATTCCTATGTAGGGGGTTGGCTGCATGTATGAATGGCTTGTAGGATGCGTGTTGCACACACCTATCCTGACAGATCTCTGTGTTCTGTGATCCTTTGCAGGGTGGATGTGTCCTTCATCCCACCATTATAGACATGAGCGATCTACAGGCCCTCTTAAATCTTTCAGCCAATGGAGAGCTCAGCAGGAAGCGAACCGACGGCTCAAATAAATGACCAATCGCATGTTAAATGTCAAGCAACTCCTGGGTCTGAAGTTCCCACCTTGATGCAGAAACCAGCCGGACACAATAATGCCACCACATCCAGCTCTGAGACTGTCCCCCCTGTTCAGAGGGCACCTGCATCGTTGCTATGCAATGTACCAGGGGGAAAACATGTGCTGGTAGCTCCAGTACCAGAGCCTCCCAATCCTCTTCAAAGGACTCCAAAGTCTATTCCATGTTGTCTGCGGGGAGCTCCAGGAACTGAGCCACCTGGCCTCCACCAAGTGGGGCCAAGGGCAGGCCATCTAGTGACCATGCAGAAGCAAGGAAAGCCGAATCTACTGGCCACAAGTAAGGAATGTTCTTCCTCTGTACATAATAAAACTTTAAGGTCAGAACCACCTGAAGATCAAAACAAACTTCCTGAGTATGATTCTTCAGGTTGTCCACATAGACCTTCCAGTCCCCAGCAGTCATATAAAGTGCTAAGTGTACAGAATTCTGGAGATAGAGGCCTTTGCAGTGCAGAGGTGGCTCCCGGTGTACAGAAACTCCCCAAAAGGAAAGATTCATCTCCAAAACGGATATCCAACACAGAGACTCTCATGAGAACTGAGGCTGATCAGGCTAGACCGCAGACCCACTCTGTTCTGAGAGCCGATACCAGTCTGTTTAGAACCATAGCCAGATGTCCTCCAACAACTAGTCGCATCCAGTTTAGAAATGGCAAAGAGTCTACTTCACCAGATACCAGTCAATCCAAAGCCATCACCAAATCTTCTCCAACTGTTACCAGTCAACTGCGACCCTCCATTAAATTCCCGCCAACAGATGCCAATCTATTAAGATCGACCTCCAAAACCACTATAATACCTGATTCCAGCCAGTCAAGGCCTCTATCCCAGTCTACACCAAGTACTGACTCCATTCACCTTAGGTCCACCACCAGAGGTCCAAAAACTGACTTTGTTCAACTGAGGCCCACCACCAGCTCTCCGAGAACTGACTTCATTCAACTTAGGCCCACCACCAGATCTCCTCTGAGAACTGACTACGTTCAGCCGAAGCCCACCACCAGATCTCCTCAAAGAACAAAGGCTCCAAAAACTGAAAGAAGGCCAGTGAAACCGCAGACTGAAGCTACTCCAAATACTCATAGCGGACCCCAGACCAAGAGTGATCCCCGAACTGACAGCACTGTGACTGTTTGTGATGAGAGTAAGAAAGGTAAATTGCTGGTCAGTCCCGGCACACCTCGTGCTTGTAGTGAGGCTTCCCTTGCCGATCCACCACAGCAGCAATCTGTGGCCAAGCGTGAAAAGACGCAGGACAGGTTGGATGGTAAGAGGAAGTATTCTTTCAGTCCTTGTCCCTTAATACTCGTATGTTCATATGTTTCATGTAATGCATGTTTCAGTGTAATTCCCCTTCTTTGATTTCAGGTGACTGTCCTTGCCCTCGGAGTAATGCAAAGGCCCGAAAGAGTCACCAAGTGGCGAAGGAGGATCCTGAGGAGGATTCAGGGCTCTTCATCCCTGTAGGTAAGGACCAGTGTCTCTGACAGCTTGCTCCGATGTGACCTCTGCTTCCAAGCCATGGTGGCTTCATTCTTCGCTTGTAAAACACCTTATCCCCATTATAGTCATCTGTACATGTTAGGGGTCAGGCTGCCCAACTATCATCTCTGCTTCTGCCAGATGTACAGCTCCCGGATGAGAAGAAGAAAAGGAAGCGGCTTCCAAGTAAGAAGAAGAGAGGGAACAGGCTAGAGGATGATGAAATCCCAATATCGTGTGAACAGGACCAGGAGCTGGAACGAGCTCTGGAGGATGGAGCCAAGCAGCACAATCTCACAGTCGTTAATGTCCGCAATATCCTACATGTGAGTGACCCGCTGATTATTCTGCCCTGTCGTATCACTCCGAGGTTCCAAGCTGTAATATTACTTCTGACTTCCTTCCTGCCTCCGAAGGGTTGTTGTAGACATAGGTGACTGGATCCACTTTAATTCAAATGGGGAAGAAAGGTTATGAATATATTGTGTATCTAGATAAATAAATATATATATATAGCGGTGGTCCCCTATTATTATCAGCAAAAGAAGAACAATTCCCCAACAGAAGGGGATCCCACCAACTCAAATATACAAAGAGTTTCAATAAAAAAGTATTTATTAAACTAACTTGAAGTTACCATTTAAAATTCATATGACACATGTATCAAAAGACAAAAACAGACACAAATACATAGAACAGTTCTCGGCTCAATAGAGGGAATTGTGCAATTTAGAAACATATTTATAAAGTGAACGGTGCACTCCCGGAGATCTCTTATTTGAAAAAATATGTATATGTATAATCCTCCAGATAAGCCTTCGGAGATAAATGGATTGAATATTTGAAACAGTGGTGGGATCCCCTTCTGTTGGGGAATTGTTCTTTTGCGGATCTACGTTTGGCAGAGGAGTGATTGATCCTAAGGTGTCTGGGGGGTGGGAGCGCATGTAAGGTGCTGTGTGGGAGGGGCTTGTTTTAGACATAGGCAGGGCTTGAAAAATTTTATGGTGTCTCACCAGTCAGTCAAAAATGTCACCAGTTAGTTTTTTTAGTAAAACATAAAAGTCAGGGTCACGTCGGGTAAATAGACACCAAACATGTCAAGCCTTAAAATTGCGTGCGCCCACAAAAAACGCCCATAGGCGGCGATTAAAACGCTTTTACTGCTCAGTGTTATCAGTGATTAATGTCTCTAAAATGATTGCACTCTGACATTTGCGGCGATATGTAACATGTGCAGCATAATAGGCGCAATCGTCGTTTTTGCACGTAGGCACACCCAACACATATCTGCGTGTGTATGTGGGGGGCGGGGACTTACAAAAATGTTTTCTTTTTACTCTAGGGAACCCCAGAGAAGCTGATGAAGCAGAGATCTGTCACAGAACTAAGGCTGAGCGGTGAGGGGAGAGAGAGGCGCCGGCTGTCAGATCAGATCCAGGCCGAACGTCTCTCTCCTCACCACTCGGCATTAGTTCTGTGACAGCGGCTCTGCCCGCCCCCCCCGCCAGCTGCAGTTTTACACATAGGTGACTGGAGCCACTATGATATCTAAATATGGCAGAGGAGTGATGGATCCTAAGTAGGGATGTCCATATACTCCTTTTTTAAGACCAAGTACAAGTACTTCCCCTCATGTACTTGCCGATACCAATTACCAATACTTTTTCTTAAAGGGTCAGGTGACATTTTTAAAAAAACAATAGACTAATGATTTTAGGCCAATTTGTTTATGATTATGAAGAACTTTAATTTAAGACTGTTTTAGAACAATAAAACATTTTACCTATTCATGTTTTCAACCGCGAAAGTGTGGGACCGCCCAGGCGGTATTGCGGCGGTTTGACTGTTGGATGTGGGGACGCACTGGGGGTCCCAGCGTGCATTTTTGGTTGCTGGGCCTCCAGTGCGTCCCTGCACCTTATCAGGAGGAGTTGGCTACCTCCTGGTACACCTGCATGCAATTTATCGACTGCATTAATATGCTCACACTTGGAGACTCGTATGCACAGAGTTAGGACCACACTTTGCAGAGGTGCCTTGGCACGGCGGTGTGGCTTCTACATATTTTTGGCCAAAAGTTTGTGCAACTAAAACCTCTGTTTTTTTTAACGCATACTGTTAGACAGGGTAATTTGTTTTGTTGCAGGCTGGCTGGCAGGTGAGCTGGGGATTTTTTTGTGTGTTTTGTACTTGTGAAAGCTAGCATCGGTATCGGGACATCCCTAATCCTAAGGTACCTGGGGGATAGGGGTTGTGTAAGGTGTCGCTACGGGATCATTGGTTCTAAGGACGTGTAAGGTGCTTGGTGGGGGTTTGTTGTAGACATATCTAACTGGATCTACTATGTGTCCTTTCTGGTTGTTTCTGCAGGAAGTGATCACCAATGAGCATGTTGTAGCCATGATGAAAGCTGCTATTACAGAGACGGAAGTTCCGTCTCCCTTTGTAAGTATAACCTCACTTCCTGTGTATCAGGATTTCTTTCCCTCGTGCCACCTGTAGTGATTCACCTAAGCCCAAGTCCCCCACCCCCCCCTTGTAGTAACACCCACTTCCCATTCATTTGGTATTTCTAGATTCATCTGATGAGGAATACCAACCACAGAGGTGTGGAAATTTAAAAAACTACTTGCCCAAGGGCTAAAGCGAGGGCCCAATCTACTTGTCCCAATGCAAAAATATTGTTTTAATCAAAACTAGGGATGCACCGATATAGGTTTTTCGGTATCGTGTACAAGTACAGATATTTTGCTTTCGGTACTCGCCGATACCGAGTACCGATACCGCTGCTTCCGCTGGCATGGAGCCTCCCGGGCAATCAGGAAGCCGGGCAGCGGGTAATGACATGCCACCCGGCTTCCTGATTGCCAGGGAAGCGGGCTCCATGTTGTTTGACCGGCGAGTAATGATCCTGATTGGCTGGGAAGCCGGCTCGATGCTGTCCAGCCAATCAGCAAGGAGCCGACTTCCTGGCCAATCAGGAACCTGGGAGGCAGGAATTACTCGCCGCCCAACTTCCTCTGACCGGAAGTTCTGGTATCAGAGCATTTGGACCAGCACAAATACTTGGTATCGGCACCGATACTATCGGTGCATCCCTGTTCAAAACCGCATTTGACTGTGCTAAATATCACGCTGACCAATGAGTGCTTGCAATGTGTGAGCGAAATTTAAAATGCATAGCACAGGCCTGCGCTGGACAGCAGTACGGGGTACAGATAGTACACACGTACTGGCGGAGGAAGGTAAGTGTAGCCGGGGGGTGGGAGAGGCGGTGCCAGATTTGATCGTATAATTCGGGGGGGGTGGACAAGATCGCTGCTTGTTTTATAAAGTGATCTGATCAGATCGCTTGTATATAACGAGCGGCGGCTCCCCACTCTACATTTAGCTCTGCTTGGCCGAAGCCGGGCTAAATGTACAAAAAACGACTCGCCTGGCGCCCGGAACTGCATGTCTCAGTGATAGCACAGAGCAGACGAAGAAAGGAAGTTCTTCGTCTGCTCTGCGGGCTCTATGGTGAGCTCCCGTGCCGTGGTGACGGGTGGACAGGATCGCCGCTTCTCGCTTCATACAAGTGATCTGATTAGATCACTTGTATGAAAACGAGCGGCGGCTCCACAATATGCATTTAGCTCTGCTTGTCCGGAGCGGGGCTGAATGTATTAAAAAAACGACTCGCCTGGCGCCCGGAACTGCATGTCCTGGGCGTCGGGCGATAGGAATTCCACACCCCTGCAACCAGATGAGATCTGTCACCATGGATATTGATTTTTATGTTTGTTTGTTCACATTCTCATTGTTCTGTTTCCCAGGAGCCAAAGATGACCCGGTCCAAGCTGAAGGAGGTGGTGGAGAAAGGAGTGGTGAGTGTTGTGTAGATACATGGACCTGGTGTGTGAATATGTATGTACATGGATCATGCGTGTGTATGTAACATGTGCTTCCCATCAGGTCATCCCTACTTGGAATCTCTCTCCAATCAAGAAAGCCAACAAAGTGCAGGTGAGATTTGCACCTTGTCATCACTGTCCCTCTTCTCCTCTGCAGCTCCCATCACTCACTTCTCTTCTCTCACTGACAGGCGCCCCAGTTTATGGACATTCATCTAGAAGATGAAGATTCATCTGATGAGGAATACCAACCAGATGAGGAAGAGGAGGACGAGACGGCTGAGGAGGTGAGTGCTGAACAGGGGTTAGTCTGAGAAGGGGACATCTTCTCATACCCCGGTGATGTACCCAATAGGAGGGGCAGAGACACAAACTACTGGGCGAAATCTCACCATTGTGGGAGGGGCAGAGTCACAAACTACTGGGGGAAATCTCACCATTGTGGGAGGGGCAGAGACCCAAAGTACTGGGGCAAATTTTACGATTGTGGGAGGGGCAGAGACACAAGCTACTGGGGCAAATGTTACCATTGTGGGAGGGGCAGAGACACAAAGTACTGGGGGACATCTCACAGTTGTGGGAGGGGTAGAGACACAAACTACTGGGGGACATCTCACCGTTGTGGGAGGAGCAGAGACGCAAACTACTGAGAGGAAATCTCACCATTGTGGGAGGGGCAGAGACACAAAGGACTGGATGGAAATCTCACCATTGTGGGAGGGGCAGAGGCACAAAGTACTGGATGGAAATCTCACCATTGTGGGAGGGGCAGAGACACAAACTACTGGGGAAAATCTCACCATTGTGGGAGGGGCAGAGACACAAACTACTGGGGGAAATCTTACCATTGTGGGAGGGGCAGAGACACACTACTGGGGGAAATCTCACCATTGTGGGAGGGGCAGAGACACAAACTAGTGGGGGGAATCTCACCATTGTGGGAAGGACACAGTCTGCAGTGAGTTAGCCCTGGATGTATTCTGTGGTATGAAATTTGCACTGATCCTAATGATACTCTGTTCAGAGCCTGCTGGAGAGTGACGTGGAGAGTACAGCATCCTCCCCCCGCGGACACAAACGCCAGAGAGCGCAGCATTTGTCTGAGTCTCAGGAGGACGAATCGGTAGAGTGTCAGGTAATGGAGGTTACAGCATTATTTGTGTAGCTGGGTCGGCGTGCAATCAGGAGATCTTGGGGAGACTAATGCACTGTGATGGTTTTCTCAGAATGCTTCACCTTCCATTTCGAGGCATATGAGCTTTGAGTCCATCCCTATGGGTCCTCCACCGCCTCCCAAGGCCAAGCACACCCAAGACATCAACTTTATGGAGGAGCTGCACGCAGTGGATGAGGAGTTGGAACGAAACATTGTCACTATGGATACGTTCCAGGTGAGGCACGCTCCTTGTGTCGCACAATGTGTTTGGACCTCGGACACCATGTGACTTGTCTTCCCTTCTCTACTTCCAGCCCCTGGATGAAAGCCTGATTGCCTTCCGTACACGATCCAAGCGGCCTCTAAAGAATGTGCCCATCGGGCAGCTGGAGGCGAAGCTTCGGGCTCCAGACATCACACCAGATATGTATGACCACAGCACAGCAGATGATGAGTACTGGAAGATGTGGCTGTGCAGCCTTATGCAGGAAGATGTAGGAAATGAGGGTGAGTGGAGACAAGTTCTCCAGAAAAGAGTTTCACAGGCTTCACTTTACTTCCACAGGAAAGGCACAGGCTATGTGACAGCCGAGTCCTTATCTGAATTCAGCCATGCTGGGATGGACTTGGGGCTATGAGAGGTGCTGTAACGGATACTTGTCAATCTGAATATGACGGCACTTGGGCTTCCAATCCGATCCGACCCCCTCCAACCCAGTCCAGTGCCGCTTTTAAGATAAGGACCGCACACAGCCCTCTGATCTTACGGAGAAGTTACAAATGCTCTTTTCTCTTTCAGATGAATGTGATGATGACGATGACCCAGAGTACAACATTCTGGAGGATTGGGACGAGCCAGATACTGAGGATCTGCGCAATGATCGAGCCGTAAGGATCACCAGTAAGTCGGTGTGCTATGAGTGTGATTGGTGAGGTATCAGGAATAAGATTTCCTATGGACTGTGTCGTCATGTTTTATTTGTAGACCTAAAGTTATTCACTAAGGTATGTATGTCGTACACGTCCCACCTTGTATGTGGGACGTGTAAGGTGCCATGGGGTTCAGTTTATAATGGAGTTGTAAGGTGCCAGGGGGTGTTGGGTATGATGAAGTAAAGTGCCAGGGAAGAGAGTGTATGATGGAGGTGTAAGGTGCCAGTGGGGGCAGTGTATGATGGTGTAAGGTGCCAGGGGGGGCAGTGTATGATGGAGGTGTAAGGTGCCAGGGGGGGCAGTGTATGATGGAGGTGTAAGGTGCCAGGGGGGGCATTGTATGATGGAGGTGTAAGGTGCCAGGGGGGGCATTGTATGATGGAGGTGTAAGGTGCCAGGAAGGGCAGTGTATGATGTGGGTGTAAAGTGCCAGGGGGGGCATTGTATGATGGAAGTGTAAGGTGCGTGCGAGGAGGGGCGTTGTATGATGGAGGTGTAAGATGCCAGGAAGGGCAGTGTATGATGTGGGTGTAAGGTGCCAAGGGGGGCATTGTATGATGAAAGAGTAAGGTGCCAGGGTACCTTGTATGTGGGACGTGTAGAGTGCCATTGGGGCGCAGTATATAATAGAGGTGTAAGGTGCCAGGGGGTGCGGGGTATGTGACATGTCTAAGCTGCCAGGGGGGTGCATTTTATGGTAGTGCTCACTTTACTTTTGTTTGTGATTTACAGAGAAGGAGGTGAACGAGTTGATGGAGGAACTCTTTGAGACGGTGAGCGTCGCGTATTTCGTCTCCGCACTCTTCTGTAGTTCTCCACTGTCTCTCACAGTCGATCTTTCTTCAGTTTCAGGATGAAATGGGACTCTCGCAAGTGGAAGATGATGGACCGGATGACGAGGACAGTAATTCTGACCCTTTCCCGGATTTCAACACCCCGCAAGCCATAAGGTAAGACAACACCCTGATAGCAGCCTGGTGAACACCCTCCTCCTGACGAAGGGGCAGGACAGCTACAGACCCAGCTGGACCTGTTTGGGATGGGAGGTAAAGGAACTCGGGGTGCTGGCTGTCCCCCTTCACTGGAGTTGTGCTGATTGGGGGGGTCACACTGCCCCAACAAATGTTTATAATGTTAGTTAAGCTGCTATTATGAGCATGTTGTTGCAACCGGTCGAGTCTGTGGCCACTAAGCTCTTCCATGTCAGGGGCCCAATCTCTAGCTTGTCACTTTATGGGGACATAACAGGCACTCTTCTGGCTTGTCTGTCCCATATTGTGTATCCAGGACTGGACTATAGTAATAGCATTTCTATGAATGATATTGAAATTGGATCACCTACTCACCTATTCAAAGCAGAGAAGAAAGTACTTGTGTGTATGTGTCCCTCTGTGCCCCATATCCCTTGCCCTCTATGCCAAATATACCACCTCTTCTACACCCCATATCCCTTGCCCTCTACATCCCATATCCCTTGCCCTCTATGCCAAATATACCTCCCCTTCTACACCCCATATCCCTTGCCCTCTATGCCAAATATACCTCCCCTTCTACTCCCCATATCCCTTGCCCTCTACACCCCATATAACTTGCCCTTCACACTCACAATACCTCCCCTTGTATACCCCATAACGTTTCCTCTATGCCTGATAAACCTTGCCCTCATATCCCTTCATACTTTTATTTCATCCACTATTCCGCAGGTTTGAGGAGCCTCTGGCCAACCTGTTGACTGAGCAACATCGCACAGTGAAAGCCCAACTGGAGTATCTGCGTATGAGGAAATCCATGATGAAGACCGATGATGATAAATGTTCAGCAAGAGACCCAGAAACACAGAGGCCGCCTCCGGCCCCCAAAGCCCCCCCAGTCTTGACCCTGGACGCAGCACAGAGGAAGAGACTGCAGCAGCAGATGCAGCAGGTAAGGCCTCCTCTGTCTTCGACCATCTCTAGTGAATTTGGTGTTCAGCGTGCTAACCCTTCTTCTGTCTCACAGCACGTCCAGCTCCTGACGCAGCTTCATCTCCTGACCTTCCGTAACCCCCGCCTGAGCGTGGAAGCTGAGACTGCACAAATGTACCTGGTAATGGTGTTTTCCAGTATTGTATGTAGGGGCTGCGACACTGGTAATGGCGTCCCCCATGTGTAGTCCTGTATTGTATGTGGGGGCTGTGAGGATGGTAATGGCGTCTGCCATGTGGTTTCCTGTATTGTATGCGGGGGCTGTGAGGACGGTAATCGCGCCCCCCATGTGTAGTCCTGTATTGTATGTGAGTGCTGTGAGGACAGTAATGGCGTCTGCTGTGTGTCTTCCTGCATTGTATCTTTGGGCTGTGAGGACGGTAATGGCGTCTGCCGTGTGTTTTCCTGTATTGTATGCGGGGGCTGTGAGGACGGTAATGGCGTCTGCCGCGTGTTTTCCTGTATTGTATGCGGGGGCTGTGAGGACAGTAATGGCGTCTGCTGTGTGTCTTCCTGCATTGTATCTTTGGGCTGTGAGGACGGTAATGGCGTCTGCCGTGTGTTTTCCTGTATTGTATGCGGGGGCTGTGAGGACGGTAATGGCGTCTGCCGCGTGTTTTCCTGTATTGTATGTGGGGGCTGTGAGGACGGTAATGGCGTCTGCCGTGTGTTTTCCTGTATTGTATGTGGGGTCTGTAGGGAAGAGAGTCAGTTGTGCTTTTACTTTCTATGGAGACCTGGAATGTGTATGTAAATGTGCAATTCCCTGTCTGCTTCCCTTAGGTAGAGCTATCCAGCTTTGCAGAGAGCTCCTCTCAGTCCCATCAACAAACTCCTGAGTTCCAGAGTGCATTCCATTCAGACAACCTGCGGGAGGCGCTGCAGTTGATCCCCCTGGTACATAGCCAGGTTCCAGAGGACCCCGAACCTCTCAAACCAGCCAGAAAGAATGGTAAGTGATGGAGCTCATCCACTGCCACCATGTATTTGGTACTGGTGGCGCTCACACAATGTACCCATGTCACTGGATGGGTAATGGGGTAAATTGTACAGTGTCATGTCATATTTTTGGATGGGTAATGGCAGAGCTAATCCGATGTACCCACCCTACCGGAGGATTAGGATTGTGTTTGACCAGGGGTGCCCACTAAGTCGATCGCGATCTACCAGTCTATCGCAAAGTGAAGACTGGTAGATTGCGATCGGCTTACTGACCTGTGTCCTGTCCTCCCGCGTTGCTTGTGCGGCTGAATGTGTCAGACGCTACAGAGAGGAAGGTGCGGGACACCTCTCCCCGTGTGCAACGCCAGCTACACGAGCACCGCGGGAGGACAGGACGCCGACGTACGAGAGGATACTTGGGAAGCTGCTGCAGTGAAGGTAAGAAAAGACAGAGAGGAGAGAGACAGCAGAGAGAGGGAGAGGAGAGAGACAGCAGAGAGAGACAGCAGAGAGAGAGACGAGAGAGACAGCAGAGAGAGAGACGAGAGAGACAGCAGAGAGAGAGACGAGAGAGACAGCAGAGAGAGAGACGAGAGAGACAGCAGAGAGAGAGACGAGAGAGACAGCAGAGAGAGAGACGAGAGAGACAGCAGAGAGAGAGACGAGAGAGACAGCAGAGAGAGAGACGAGAGAGACAGCAGAGAGAGAGACGAGAGAGACAGCAGAGAGAGAGACGAGAGAGACAGCAGAGAGAGAGACGAGAGAGACAGCAGAGAGAGAGACGAGAGAGACAGCAGAGAGAGAGACGAGAGAGACAGCAGAGAGAGAGACGAGAGAGACAGCAGAGAGAGAGACGAGAGAGACAGCAGAGAGAGAGACGAGAGAGACAGCAGAGAGAGAGACGAGAGAGACAGCAGAGAGAGAGACGAGAGAGACAGCAGAGAGAGAGACGAGAGAGACAGCAGAGAGAGAGACGAGAGAGACAGCAGAGAGAGAGACGAGAGAGACAGCAGAGAGAGAGACGAGAGAGACAGCAGAGAGAGAGACGAGAGAGACAGCAGAGAGAGAGACGAGAGAGACAGCAGAGAGAGAGACGAGAGAGACAGCAGAGAGAGAGACGAGAGAGACAGCAGAGAGAGAGACGAGAGAGACAGCAGAGAGAGAGACGAGAGAGACAGCAGAGAGAGAGACGAGAGAGACAGCAGAGAGAGAGACGAGAGAGACAGCAGAGAGAGAGACGAGAGAGACAGCAGAGAGAGAGACGAGAGAGACAGCAGAGAGAGAGACGAGAGAGACAGCAGAGAGAGAGACGAGAGAGACAGCAGAGAGAGAGACGAGAGAGACAGCAGAGAGAGAGACGAGAGAGACAGCAGAGAGAGAGACGAGAGAGACAGCAGAGAGAGAGACGAGAGAGACAGCAGAGAGAGAGACGAGAGAGACAGCAGAGAGAGAGACGAGAGAGACAGCAGAGAGAGAGACGAGAGAGACAGCAGAGAGAGAGACGAGAGAGACAGCAGAGAGAGAGACGAGAGAGACAGCAGAGAGAGAGACGAGAGAGACAGCAGAGAGAGAGACGAGAGAGACAGCAGAGAGAGAGACGAGAGAGACAGCAGAGAGAGAGACGAGAGAGACAGCAGAGAGAGAGACGAGAGAGACAGCAGAGAGAGAGACGAGAGAGACAGCAGAGAGAGAGACGAGAGAGACAGCAGAGAGAGAGACGAGAGAGACAGCAGAGAGAGAGACGAGAGAGACAGCAGAGAGAGAGACGAGAGAGACAGCAGAGAGAGAGACGAGAGAGACAGCAGAGAGAGAGACGAGAGAGACAGCAGAGAGAGAGACGAGAGAGACAGCAGAGAGAGAGACGAGAGAGACAGCAGAGAGAGAGACGAGAGAGACAGCAGAGAGAGAGACGAGAGAGACAGCAGAGAGAGAGACGAGAGAGACAGCAGAGAGAGAGACGAGAGAGACAGCAGAGAGAGAGACGAGAGAGACAGCAGAGAGAGAGACGAGAGAGACAGCAGAGAGAGAGACGAGAGAGACAGCAGAGAGAGAGACGAGAGAGACAGCAGAGAGAGAGACGAGAGAGACAGCAGAGAGAGAGACGAGAGAGACAGCAGAGAGAGAGACGAGAGAGACAGCAGAGAGAGAGACGAGAGAGACAGCAGAGAGAGAGACGAGAGAGACAGCAGAGAGAGAGACGAGAGAGACAGCAGAGAGAGAGACGAGAGAGACAGCAGAGAGAGAGAGAGGAGAGAGAGACAGCAGAGAGAGAGGAGAGAGACTGAAAGTGAGAGAAGAGGGGAGACGGCAGAGAAAGTGAGAGAAGAGGGGAGACGGCAGAGAAAGTGAGAGAAGAGAGGAGACGGCAGAGAAAGTGAGAGAAGAGAGACGGCAGATAGAAACAGGGGAGAGCGCGAGGAGAGAGTGGCTGTTCACACCACAAAGTCTGTGTTCCAGAGCGTTCAGCCTCTAGAACGCACTGGAATGCAAGCTGGTCGGCTCATGCTTGCAGCATTTTTGTAGATCGCACTCGACTGGTATGCAGGTACTAATGTGCCTGCGTTCCGGGTGCGGGAGGGCGTGGCTGTGGTGCCATTGACTTCAATGCACCGCCACGCCCCCTCCCACCCCTGAATGCATGTGTTTTTTTTTATTGGTAGATCTCATTGAGCTCGTCATTTGAAAAGTAGATGAAAAATTGCGGCCGCCCCTGTGTTAGAGCTATACAAGAGGGAAATATCAGCCATCTATATATCAGCTTATCACATGATTCATTTCTGGCTCATTGGAGCACAGAGGGCCTATGGGGAATCAGTCCGCTTTATAAGAAGGTTGGACTTTGCGTGTGAAATACCCCAGATGGCTATAACCCTCCTCCACTGATGGGCCCTTCAGTCTTGGCTTGTCTGTAGGTGGTGACTTTGGATCCTATGCCCCACATTCTTTGAATTTGTAGATAGTTTGTTATAGGCTGCTGCCTACTACCACTATATATTTCTTCAGTACAGGACACAAATGTGCAAGCCCTTGCTACCATTGCACTGATTTACATATCATTGTACATGCCCGTTCTGGGAAAGGTAAGGCTCTGCCTTTTTCTGTGATGGCACATTTACTAGATCTGTCAGTGCCTCTTGGGGTTTTCTGCATCCGGAGCCAATGTCATATCACCTAGTGATACCTGCATATTACCAAGACCCCTGAAACTGCCCGTGTCCTCTACTGTATTCCCAGGAATTAATTTTACTGCCAAGGCAAACATCCTATTACGGTATTCTCATCAGTATTTGTGATTTTATCCCTGCAGTCAATGAGGTGTCTGATTTGCCCAAACACACTGCGTGGGTTATGGCTACTAGGCCAGTGTTTATGTACCCAGAGCTGCTGCCTGTGTGTGCCATGAGAGCCCGGGGCCCCAGAGACAGGGTCTTCTTCACCAAGGCTGAGGACAGGTAAGACCTGATGAGGCTATCACCCCCCCACTCCCTCTCCATGGCACAGACGATGTTCATGTCATTGTCGTCCTCTCCTTGCAGCTTGCTGGCTCTTGGATTGAAACACTTTGAGGGAACAGATTACTCCAAACAGCTGATCAGCAAATATCTGTTAACGGCCAAAACTGCTCAACAACTGACCGTACGGATCAAGAACCTGACCATGAAGAAATCTCCGGATAATGTCATTAAGGTGAGGCCGGCGGGAAGATTGGAACAGAACCTCACATGGCATGGATGTGGTTATCACTGGGAGTACTGCCATCATGGGGTAGGGCGGGGCTAATTGCTAAGCCCGCTGCTATTGTGTAGTATAGAGAGCTTATCGTTGGGCTAGCTGCCATGATAGGGTATGGAGGGCTCATTGCTAGCATGATGGGATATAGAGAGCTTGTTGCTGGGCTAGCTGCCATGATAGGGTATAGAGGGCTCATTGCTGGCATGGTGGGATATAGAGAGCTTATCACTGGGCTAGCTGCCATGATGGGGTATGGAGGGCTCATTGCTGGCATGGTGGGATATAGAGAGCTTATCGCTGGGCTAGCTGCCATGATAGGGTATAGAGGGCTCATTGCTGGCATGATGGGATATAGAGAGCTTATCACTGGGCTAGCTGCCATGATAGGGTATGGAGGGCTCATTGCTGGCATGATGGGATATAGAGAGCTTGTTGCTGGGCTAGCTGCCATGATAGGGTATGGAGGGCTCATTGCTGGCATGATGGGATATAGAGACCTTTTTGCTGGGCTAGCTGCCATAATGGGGTATGGAGGGCTCATTGCTGGGACCACTGGCATGATGGGATATAGTGAGCTTATCGCTTGGCCCTTGGCAGTGATGGGGTATAGAAAGCCCAGCGCTCACCCCCACTACCACGATGGGGTATATAGGATCCATCGCCGAGCCCACTGCCATTATGGGGGTAGAGGGAGCTCATCTTTGTCTAAAGTCAGAGGGGGTGGAAGGGGATAATGGGAGGTGGGACTCCAGGGACAGATGTGATGGAGGGGCACACTGGGAGAAGTAACTCCATGATCAGAGACGGTGAAGAGACACATGGTGGGGGATGGAAGTAGTGATATGTATTGTAGTGTAGTGAAGCATATTTATAAATAGCTCTGCATTACCCTGCCCCCCCCTCCCCCCCAAATATATCACCTGCAGTGGACCGAGCAGTGCTCTGCGCAGTTACCCTCTATTGTTTCTGATTTGTCTATTTCCTTTCCTGACAGTATTACAGGAAGACCAAGATGTTACCCCCACTGAGCAGATGCTGCGAGGATGTCTCCCCTCAGGATCTATGCCCCCCGGTGGAGAGGGAGAAACACCGACTGCCGTTCTGGATGAAGGTAATGTGTGTGTACTAGTATCTGGAGCTGTCCAATATGTCCTCCTTTTACTGGGTCAGTCATACAAGCCTGGCCTGTCCTGCCATTACTGTGAGTGCTTAGTCTGCAGGCTCTGAACGCTCGGCATTGTTTGATATCTGAAGCTTCGTACTGCATTCTTCAAGGATATGAACACGTTCTTTGTGCTGAAGTCAGCTGCCATTGTTCCTTTTGGGAGCAGTGCTAGAGATGAAGGGTGCGTTAGGGTTGTCGGGTGCGTTAGGGTTGTCGGGTGCGTTAGGGTTGTCGGGTGCGTTAGGGTTGTCTGGTGCTTTGTAACTTCTTGCTGAAGGCTTGCGTTTCCAGGCAATGATCAAACCCCATGATGTCTGATGTGTTAGCCATGATGTACCCCATCTAATCATATTCACCTTCTTCTCACAGGCCAGTCTGAGCAGCATTGAGGCTTACATGGAAAATTTGGAGAAGAACACAAAATCAAGCGACTCCAAATACCCTCTGATCCTTCCGCCTGCCGTGGCGCTGACACTCAAACCCCTTCCCAGATGTTTCTATCGCAGATTGTGGCGCCAGAGGAGGCCTTCTGTACTAAAACCGCTTCTGATCCGTCCTAGTGCCAGCACCACCTGTACCCCAAAACTGTCAGCCAAACCTGTGGCCCCCCAGACTGTCCCCATCAGAATCATCGGCCAGGTGCCGCCTCTCCTGCAGCCTGCTGTTCCCGTGCAAGGAATTGTTAATATTCAGCCAGTCGGAGTGCCAATTGGCCGTAAGGGGCCTGATATTTGCATCCCCATCTCGTCTAATAAGAGGACGGCTCCGCTGTGTGGCAATACCTCAGCCGCTAAAGTGACTCGCGCCCCCGTTTCCCAGACCAGGATGATTATGCCTGCTACATCTAACCCACGAATCAGAAAGTCCTTGCTGGGTGGCATTCCTAAAATAAAGACGGTGCCCCGTACAGTTGGCATCAAGGCGGCTCCCTTGGTGCACTCCGCACCGGTCCTTTTCGCTGTGCCTAATGGAGCTCTGAAGCTGGTGCGTCTCGGCACTCAATGTAGCATCCTCCAGCCAGTTGGTGCCAGCACTGGGGTCCCGGTCACCACTGTCTTTCTAAATCCCACCCACATGCCTCTCAATTCAACCCTCATATCGCCTCCTTTCAAGCAGATCCAGGAGACAGTGTCTTTGGCCACTGATGTTGAAGGAGGCCGCAGCAGCCCCATAGTGGAGACCAAGACTTCTGTAAAGAAGGAAGAGGACGGCGAATGGGACTATATAACTGTTGAAGTGAAGGACGAGGTCAGCCCAGCTTGTGCAGGAGAAGGGAGCCCTGACGGGTCACTGAACCAAGATGGTGGGGGTTCGGAAGGTGCTGGAGAGCAGACGCCATCGGATGACAAACCTATAGATATTAAGCACGCTACTGATGTCGCAAGTCATGAGACTGTAAACAGTGAGACGTCAGCGGTAAATGTGCAGAGTAGCACCAGCGCTGGGGGTGCGTCTGGTAGTGCTGCAGGCGGGGGGCAGCCTCACTCTGAGGATATAAAGGAAGAGGAGCAGGATTTAGAGGTTTCTCCTAAGGATGAGATAGACCCAAAGCAGGAGGACTTGGAGGAACCTGAGGATGGCAACGCAGATGTCAATGAGCCACAGAAACAGGAGAGCGGAGGAGGGCCCGCAGACTCCCCAAAGAACACGTCATCTTCCACCGATGGAGACGTAGAGATGAGCAGTCCCTCCGCTGCTCCCCAAGATTACTCCAGTCCGCCGGGGGGACAAGACCTTGCCAATGATAAGGACGGTGCAGAAGAGGAAGAAGAAGAGGACTTTGATGACCTGACACAGGATGAGGATGAGCTGTCCTCTGCTTCTGAGGAGTCGGTTCTGTCTGTTCCAGAGCTGCAGGTAAGACTGATGCCGAGTCATGTCATAGGGTGTAGGGGTGCGGATATTTAAAAAAACAAACTGCTTGTTCACTAAAGCGGAGGCCCAATCTACTTGTCCTTCATGGTAATCTAATTGTCAAGATACAAAAAACTATTTTAACCAAAACCGTATTTAACTGTGCGAAGAAACACTTCACATTGGTCAGCTGACCGAGTGCTCGTGAGATTCATAATCCATGGCACAGGGACGGTATGGGGTACAGATACCAGTGGAGGGGAAGGATCGTTCGCTGAAAAGTAAG